CCCCCCCCCCCCTTTTTTTTTTGTGGACCCTATCAATATTGAAAATCATTTAGACTTATTTTAATATTTAATTTTTTTACATTTTTACATTTTATAATATATAAATTAATAACTGATCAAATAAAGCTTTAACCTAATTTGTTAACTTTTTCATACCATCATAACATTTTAGTTGGGGTCACACCACATCACATAATCATCAATATATTAATAAGCATTAACAACAAAAAACTAATACATTAAAATTTTAAAATACTAAATTTAGAGGATAAAAATTAACCATCCCTCTTTATTAATTTTAAAAACTAATAATGAAGAAATAACAAATTTGGTACATAAACAGAAAATTATCATCATCAGCATCAACAATTCGACATCAACTAATGAAGAAATTACAGACATGAATCTTGAAGGCGAGGTTTTAGGCTTTTAGCTTTGGAGAGCTTGTTTCAAGAACTGGGTACCGCAGTTTCTTACAGTGGACAGAACTTTAAAGAACATGATATTTCACATTTCAGTTGTTATCTAAATTATCACATCAAATGTAATACGGTCTCCATGGAAAGAACCCAGAAGATCTGGACTAATGGAGACCCTGCAGTTTGGAAGCAGCAATGGAATCCATGATCCATGAACTGCTCACTGCTCCGGCTCCTGCAGATTTTGCCAAGGCTTCAGCCTCAGATTTCCTTCGGCTCATCAGAGTCCCGTTCTTGTCGGGGTCGATATTATCTGGCGGTTCAAGGCTATATACTATGATTGTCGAAGATTCAGACAAAGTGACCAAGTCAGTTGCCAGTGGTGGAATGGGCCGTCTGCGCAGGATTGATCCTCCAGCAGCTACAACCAGGTCTTGCAGATAGCCCTTGTAAACTGGATCGAAGTCTCCAGTGATATAGAACTTTAAACCATCGAAAAGCTTCGGTTGCTACATTTTTACCAAAAAGAATTCGTAAGATTATATCTAAACAAAGATCATTTCTTTGATGTTAATGAATGAGAAACAGCAGACACAAAGGGCCAACCTTGTTCATGGCTCTTTCTCTTCCAAGACGTGGACCATCCTGAATTCCATGAACATCCGTGGCAATCTCATATTGTTCCTCATTCACGTATTTCATATCCTTCAAACAGGCCTTAACCCCTGAGTAGAAAGGTATGTCACAGCTTCAGAGATTGTTTATGGTAAAACAGCAAACGGATATTGTTAAGGTTGATAAATGAATAATACTAACAATCAATGCTTAGAATCCATTTGCCCTCCAAGATGCCCTTCAGGACCTTGAGGGTCCTTTTGCATGCTCTGCTCTCATCAGTTGATGCAATGACATGTGTAACACGGGATTCCCATTTTCTCAAGACCACAACTCCAGGAAGGCTTGAAAATTCAGAAACCACAGCCTGAAATCCAAAGCAATCAAAGGATTCATTCAAGTTTTGAATCAAGAAATTTCTTAAAGAAATCGTGTAAATATGTTTCCCATACCCTCTCTTCAAGTGCAAGTCCTGAACAACATAGAATCAGTTTCTTTGATAGCCCATGCAAACGTCTGTCTTGAGGTGCAGTGCCACTTTTAGCAGCTACTTGATTACTCTGAGAGTGCAGTTGCCTAGAGAAGACATTGATATTGTCAGTTGTCTTATAAGAAAACTTGAATCACATCAAGATTCATACAATGAAAACAAAAGGTGACAAAATTCAGCATTACCCTTCTGATGAAGGCATGTGTCTTCTTTGTTTTGGACAAGTTTTTTCACAAGGTAACTTAGTGGATGCATGCAAGGGGCACAGCATAACAAAGTTATCCTGTTGATGTAAAAGGTGTTATATGAATCATTTTAAGGAAATACAGATTCACCTCTAGACTTCACACAACACTTACCGAGTCCCATCTGCACTCTGGGATCAACTTTGCACAAGAAACATGAAAACTCCTTTTGCAGCTGTCGTAGTAACAACCAAGGGCTGCACCTTTAAGCCCACAGCAACTGCAACTTATTCTTTTGCTTCTAGTTAACTCAGCTTCTAGGTTGACTGCAGTAAAATCCTCAAAATAAACATTTGGGGCCCTGCAAATACAATAGCCAATACCAAACTTCTTCACAACAGATTACATTAAATTCAACAAAAAAGAGAGCCTAATGCCAGATTTTCAGAAAATCAAATAAACTAGGTGGCATAGAACAGATCTTTAAAGGTGCATCAAAGCACTGGTGCCTTTTCTCATTTGCTCCAATTTTTATGGCATAAGCATGAGCTAGCCTTTCACTATGTTAGACCCCAGATTTCCCTTACCATTCAGCACAGTTTTTATGTACATGTATGACCTTGGACCCACCATCATAATCTGCTGAAACAGGCTGGCCTTTGTAGTAGTGAGCCATCTCACCTGAAGCCTGTAGATTTAACATGCCAGATGCAAAACTTAAATAAATGATTACGGTCAAAGAAGAACCCAATGAGAAAGACGTGAGGAATTAACCTCTGAATCCTCTGAAGAATGACAAAAGGCGCATGGAAATTTATTTGCAAGAACTTCACATCGGCGCAAAGGCAGATCATGCCCAGAAGGCTCCGAACAATTCTGTCGAACTTTTGTGGTATGACTATCTTCATCCTCAGTAGAGTTCTTTCTGTTCTTGGACTCATATCCATCACCATCTTGATCAACATGAGTCAGCTCATCTCTAAAGATGCCATTTCGGTTTGATTGCCTACGTCTGCTGGAAGTCATGCTTGGCCTAAGTGTTGAGACTTTTTTTGCCGAATTCTCATTAGAGGCTAGAATATCTGTATCGCCAGTTCTGGCAGAAGATGCTAAGCACTTCTTAGGATTTTTAGCTTTGCTTTTTTTCTTCCCAGCTTTTGTTAGTCCACCTACAAGGCCAACCACACTCGGATTCCCTAAGCTTTGGGAAAGATCTATTGGACTAAGGGATATTGCATTTAATTTTCTCTCCCTCTTTTTCTTACAGAAATTGCCAGAAGTTTGCTTCCCAGACTCTGTATCAGATAAACCCTGGATCTGATTCTGATCCCCATTGCCTAAATCACTAGATCTAGCTACTGGCTGATCTTCAGAGGCTTTAGAGATTGACCTTTTTCTTTTTGTCCCCTTCTTGCCATCTATTACACCAACTTTCCCATCAGACTCTTCAGATGTTGCTACACCCATTTGAACTCCTGAACCATGATCCTTACTTTGTTTAGCACGACTGACTTTGGCATTTTTTTTAGGGTTCCGATTTCTCTGGTTAGATGCGCCAGTAATAGCTTGTTTATCACCAAGATTCATACCTGCAGGTGATACTTTTGAAACCCCAGAACATAGCATAGCGTTTTTATTTCTTGCACTTTTTGCTTCATGCATTCTGTTTGTCGATTTTCCTGATGCTACCTTAGAAATTTTCCTTCCACTTTGATCAGACTCAATGCTATCAGGGACCTGCAATTCATTTAACCTTTCAGTTGAATTTAACCATTTCCAGAATTTGTGAAAGAAAATAAGCGTAGAGCTGTACAAGGAGCACCACTGCATTAGAATTGCCTGTACCTTGGCTTTCACTGGACTTGGTAGAATCTCAGGTGAGCAAGGCCTCTGTGTCCATTCAAACATTTCACTGTCAAATATGTCCATTGGAGCGGGGTTTTCCTGCTCATCTCCCTGCAAACATTCATCACGACACAATCCAGGACAAATTATTTTCCAAATAAAATTCTTACACATGTTTGCCTACAAATTGTCAGGACTATTCATCTAAAACAACTGGTAATATGAATATTCATCACGATACAGTCCAGGACAATTTGTTTTCCAAATAAAATTCTGACACTCATTTGCCTAAAACTTGTCAGGGCTATTCATCCAAAACAACTGGTAATGTGAATATAACAATTAGTATCTAATCCATAAACCAGGTAGTGCCCAATTATGCTAGTTCCAGAAACAAAGATAAGCTCAATTTGAGTAGAAAATGCTCCACAGTAAAACTGACATGTAACATGTACAGATGAAAGAGACCAACTTGATGCAATGCCGTATGAGGGAGATAATGGTTCCAAATATTCACCTTTGTTGGGCTCTCGTGATCTGAGTCCTTCAAATCACTGAATGAAGGAACATCAACAGGTGTACAATACAAATCATCACTTTCTGTAAACTGACTGATGTTCTCCTCGGCATCCTCATCTCTTAACCAAAAGAAGGGTGAAAGTGACAACTTCCCAACTTTATTTGGAGAAGCATCCTCATTCGAAGAAATCAAAGTCTTTGTAGTATCATCCTTGACTATGCCAACTCTTCCAGTAGATTCTGCAAATTTGGTTGCATTCTCAGAAGACGGATGCTGCGGTAGCTGCACCCTTTTCTTGGTTTGAGACGAAGGTTTTAGAACAATAGGTCCAGCTGCATCTAGGTTTTCCTTCTCGTTCTTTCTAGGCCCCTTGCCCTTGGATGTTCGCCCCTTGCTTGCAACCTGACAAATTTCATTTGTTACCTTTTGGGAGTACTTGGAATCTGTTCCGGCATGCTTTTCTTTATCTGTGGATACATAGTTTATAAAAGAAAGAAAACCATTCAATATAAAATCATTTGCAGCAAAAGACGCACTCATCAGGTTCTCTAATCTCATTTATGGAAATTTCATTTGGGTCTCTGAAAAACAGGTCCTACAACTACAAGGAAGTCGGCTTATATTTTTTCAGCATCAAAGTTGCTCGATTGGAACCTAGATCAGCAAATTTAGGAATGATTATGTTCAGTCACCAAAATACTAATTGACCCATGAGCACTTGAACAAGGCTTTTAGTAGTAGATGACCAAATCTCGATGTTCTTCCCTATTTTGCAACATGTACCTGATGAATTCTTTGAGGATGGGATATTCTGGCTTACAAATATATTAACCCCAGAAGCAACCTCCATGCTCTTGTAGATACCAACCAAGCTGTCCATATGAGGGGCAGCACGGATGTCTGTCATATAACAAATCATGATACGCTTGGCTTTGTTACAAAGTGTTGATGACAAATTGGAGAGGGAAGAAACGAAAAATTGTTGATTGATACAGAGGCAAAAGGCTAGTCCAAGAGCATTGGAAGTACCTCGACGATGGTAAGGAACTTTACAAACTGGGCAGGTGGCATCTGTTTTCATAGATTTCACTATGCAAGCACTAGAACAAAAGATAATCGTCAAGTACGTGGTTAGTATGAAGAAAGTAAAAACTTTGAATTAGCATCATATGCCTTGTGTAAGCAAACATATAACACAGGATCTTACTTGCAGAACACATGGTTGCATGTAAGTGAAGCTGCACAATTCAACAAACTCAAGCTGCAAATGGCCAATGGAAATTGAATCAGTTAGAAAGGTAGCCAAACCCAGATTTTAGTACAACTTTTAAACCTGAATTCACTTCAACATGGCGAAACGTTGAAGAGCCAGGAATTCAAACGTTTGGTCAGAAAAAGAGATTTGGGACGATTTTCTCGTAACACTGAAGCAAGGATTCAAAATTTGAAGTACAGAGCCAAGCCTTTTAATTAAAAAAAAAAGATTCAAAAACTCTAATTCTAAAATTTTCTACACGGCCGACTGAACATAGAAACTCAATTTGTATTCAGAACAAGAGAAATTACTCAAATCAACTACGAAAATATATATGAATTCCTGAACGAGGGATCAATCAGATTAGCAGTAGCCCCTCCTTGCAATCAGGTTGGGAATTAATAATAGAAAATAGGGTTTTATCCCCACGTTCACCATAAACCCAATGAACACGATTCATTAAGACGGAGACATTCTGCGGCCGAATTACCAAATCGGGCACTTGAGTTCTCTTCCCATCCTCTCCAAGTGTCTTATGTCGCCCATCGTTCTTCGATGCTCAAAGCTTTCTTCGTCTTCTCCAGAAAATGCAGAGTATGAGAGAATAAATCCTTTATGTATACAGAGTATGGCGAATGTATGAGTATGATACCAAACACGAAGACGAAGAGTCTTGCCGTAGAAGCTGGAAGAAGACGGCGAAAAGCGCCAGATTTTTTTTTTCCCACTTCAAATTTTTTGGCCCCGCCAAAATATTTGTCGAAAGCGCGGTACAGCAACTTGGATTAAATTTTCGCTAAATCCCCAGAACTTTACTATTTTATTATATAACCCTATACTTTTAAATTTTCCAAAACGACCCCAACATTATGAGCTACACTGCTGTGAACCCCATATTTTGCATTCTAATAGATTCGATCATCAAGAACAGAGTTTTCTTGTCATGCCGACAGGTTCCTCTGGACCAGAGGCTCTGGTTGTGGGCATTGTTGTCGCTTGTATTCTTGTCGGGTCAAGATGTGAACCAACACAATGAACATGCTTCAGTGTCTTTTTCCATCTTTCATCTAAAAGGAAACATTTTTCTTTCCTTTTCCCAGATTTTCTCAGCTCCCAAACAATCTCCACAGCAAACTTCTCGAGAAAAGCTCGATCTTTTATACTTAAATCTCGACTGATATGTCGATTCTCCATGACATCCATTTACAACAAGAGATTGCAACACTCACCTTTCTAGGGCAAACATTAACATTAAGGATGAACTTACAAAAGGGTCTCTACCATGCCGAGCCAGTAATCCTGTAATGTCACCAACCAGGCTGATGCTTGTTTTGTCATCTGAAATTGCAACACTGAGCGTGGCCTCTCAACAACTTGTCCCACAGGCACATCATCTGTCTAGGAGATTGGTAATGCGCGGTGTAATAGTTTAGCGTGCAACCGTACTGACAAAACTTCCAGCTATGAGAGTACTGAACAGGCATCGAAGAGTTGAATTGCTCCACCCACATTCCCATGCTTACATCTTCCATCTTGAAAAGCTGTCCAAACATTATCGGAAACAGTTATTTTAGTATGTACTCAATGCAAAGTTTGATAGAGATGCTCTGCCGAGGGGAGGATAGGGAAGAGACAAACCCTCAGCTTTTGATCTGTATTCTGAGAAACAATGTACTTAGCAATGTTGCTGGATATTATATATCCAGGTCCATTTGCATAAGGTGGATACACATTTTCTGGCCATTCCTGTTACAGTAGAAAGACACAAATATATTCAGTATTCAGTTACCAGACGCATATAACTAAGTATATGGACAAACATACCTCCCATGTAACTGCCCATTTTCCGGTTCTCAGAGGACGATGCAGGAGATTTAAATTGCCCATATAAAAGGGTTTTCCAGGAGGGACTCTATCGATCTCTTTCAAAATTGGTTCTATTCTGACAAAATTGTCGTCATCACACTTCATTATATATGGAGCTGTCACATTCTGAACCTGCATAGTAGCTTAGAAGTGAGAAGCTGATAATGAAATGATCCTTACGCAAAGATCATCAGCCGAAAATTTAAACAGCGATGGAATAAATCAAATGAAAGGTTGAAAATTTGAATACCCCAAATTCACAAATGGCAATTGTTTTGAGAACTACAAGCTCGTAATGATCCATAAAAGGCAGAATCACAATATCTCCAAAATACTCAGCCTCCCTCTTCAGCATTGCATTCACTTCCTTTCTTGGATTCTACAAATTTGTTTACACAAGTGACAGAATATACATGTGTATTAGTAAAACAAAGCAGAACTGCAGAAATAGGAGAATAGGCTCGTGGAAAACAGTTTGATAGTTATCATGGATAGTAGTAGGTCAATTTGTACCCAAGTGATCCATACCGTAATGATAAATTTGACCGAACAGTGAGCACATTAATACCGATTAATGCACAAGAACAGTCACATTAACATTCTTTCCAGTATTATCTATGTCAGATTTACCAACATAACTCAATGCTAAGTTCCTCAAAGGCTATTTTCTTTGGAATGTGCTTAAAGCCTAAACAGGACTAATGCTAATAACTTACAAGAGCAACGAAGAAGCGGACCACTACATCCGAAGATTTAATAACTGAATGCTGCATCCATGTCTTTCTTACTGCCATTCGCTCCGCAAAATGGTTAGTTGCAGATAGAACCCCGATAAAAAGACGAAAAGGTCTGCTTGGCAAAGGAGGAGCCTTCCACACTGGGGAAAATTCTAATGCTTTCTGTGGTGAGAAACTTGGATGAGATGTTGGAAGAGAAGTAGCATAGATAGAACGAACATCTACATCTCCTTTAATGGCCAGCCCAGTGGCATCTTCGAGGGTGAATCCCTGAGACTCAGAATTTGACAAGCATTAAAACCTCTTTCACATCATGCCAAACATTCATATAAACAACTGTATATTCCCTCTTATATACAGGAGAACAGAAGACACTAGAGGAAGACTAAAGCTCTCGATTTGAACAGTAAATTACTATATTGGGCAGTCCAATGCATAAAGCATCCCGTTGAGCAGTAAATTACTATACTGAAGACAGAGGAATGCATAATACAAACAAAAGCAGCAAAAGAATAGCAACGTTCCCAAACTCACAGATAACATGCGCATGAAAGCATTCAGGAAGATTTATTCAATACAAATTTCAGAAAATCATGTGACATAACATACCAGTCGATAAGGGAAAGAAGTCACATGCTTCCCTCCAACGTTTATATGGAAGCCATCGATGCCAGCTCGCAAAGTTAGGACAAAAAGCCTGCCTTCAGCGAAAGGGAATGACCAAGTGACTTCTGGTTTCTGTTCACGTCCAATAAAACGCTTGAACCAAGAAGTTGTCTTGGATTCTTTTGAGTCTACCAAGTCATTCCTCATCCATTTTTCACATCTTCGGGATCCATCAACTGAAATATTTGTTCAGGCAAATCAAGTAATAGGGGATAACAAAACACAATTGCACTAAAAGAACAATAGTACTGAGAGTCCAGTATCCATTGTCATGGATTTTGGCTATCGATGCAAATGAACACGTGAAGCTCTCATCTCAAAAATCAACAGTAAGAGTAAATCAATCCAAAAAATATTAGAAATGGATAACAAGGTTAATATTTGTACATATCAGCTACACATTAATCCTGCAATATTGTGTTGGCAAACTCTCCAAAAGAATGTTAAAATCTTACCAAGCATGTCAACCTCGTTCTTGGATGGGGTACCGTCACATCTCTGGGCAGTCCCCCATTGCATCCTATAGCATGTATTGTGTTCGATTACAGGCTTGTGACTCCAATCACCCTTTATTCTAGGATTCAAATGGAGAATCTTAGGGGGATCCTCCCCATCCACTGCCTTCAGCCCTTGCAGTTCAACCATAAACTGTGAAACCATAACCATTCCGTCCCCTCTTTTCAATCTTGAAAGCTGGGGTAGAGATTCTTTATGTGCATTCTGTGGGGTACCGATAATTGTGATAGAAGAACTTGCAGCAAGACCACAAGGGATAAACATGACCCCTTCTGCCTTGTCCAACTCCTCTCCAGTTATCGAGATATAAGACGGGCACGATTCATTATTACCTTCATACAAGGAAATCTCTTCAATGTTTGTTACATCAAACTTATCCACATCTTCCCAAGCCTTGGATCCCAATGTCCAAGCCTCATCTGCCATCCTCTCAATCGGTGATGTGTGAAGGGTTTTGTTTCTACTTCTCGTAATCTCTCCTGTTATTCGACCATATCGAAACTCGGGTGGATTTATGGGTTTTGTTCCACTTGTCTTCTCTGCCACTGGCATTTTATCTGGCATAGAAGGCCCGTTTTGGTCCTCATCATCTTCTAATCTACGATGGAAGCTGTCTTTATGGAAAGAACTCACCAATGCTCTGCTCGAATCTACATGGTCCGTATACGATACTTTATCATCCAATTCAGTATCCCCGGTCAAAGTAGCTACCATCTTGATGAAATGCGGGAACTTAGACGCTAAAAAAATCAAGTAAAGTCCAGCAACACCCAGCAAGATATGCGACAACTTGAACCTCCTAGGGCTAAAAGATTCGCTTTTTACCCTCTTCATCGTGTTATAATTAGCTGATCTCTCTTCTCCAATTAAAATCTCTGGATTTCTACGTTCTACGAGCAGAATATATGCGTTATTGCAGCAAATAACATATATCAAATGTAGCCAAGTCCTCGAATAACTTAATTCACGGGGTGATATGGGGATCCACAAACCCTAATCTTCCACAGAAACTAGCGACTAGAAGGGCCCAGATGCAGAGAGAGAGAGAGAGAGAGCGGAAACTTGACACGCTTGGGAAGATCAATAAACTCGGCGAAATCTAATCAAACGAAGCAAATGTCGCAACCCCAGAGGGATGATCCAACAAAATTGGATGAATTTCAGCGACGATCACCTGGGGAAAATGACGGAGCAACGCAGGCCAGAAGCTCCAACGAAACAGCAAGCCCGACAGAAGAAGAAAAAGACGAATAGGAGTGGCTAAAATGGAGGAGATCAGCAGCTCAAGAACCCCATTAAAGACTAAAGAGGAGCAAATCTCCAAGTGATTTAGCGAGTTTGCTAGGGCTAAAACTAAAAGCGAAACCGAGGAGATGAAGTTTTAAAAGGAAATTCAAAATTTGAATATCCAAGGAAGGTATATAAAATAAAATTAAGGTGAAATTAAATAGACAGTAATTCGATTGAATAATTTTTCCTTGTTAAATTCAATTAGATAATGATAGATGAAGTTTTAAACTAAGATGTATCAATTAAATTATTGAGCGTCTGCCAAAAAATAATAATAATGTCGTCATCAAAATTAGGTAAAGTGTATACCACCAAAATTAAATTATTATTACTTTTTTATGGTTGAACTTTGAAGTTCCGTTTTGGCAGAAAAAAAAAACATGTGCATTTTTTTCACATTTTATGTTTGCCTCTGTTCTTCAAAATTTTATAATATATTATATTCACTTTATAATAAATAAAATTATGATTGATCATCTCGAATATTATATCAGATCAAACTAAAAATAGTTTGGAATGAAACTTATTTTTTCTTAATACGAATACACTTTTTGAATGGTATTGGTTTTTATTTAGTGTTTTTGGCTTTTGTTTTTGGTTTTGGGTTTTTAGTTTTTAGTTTTTGGCTTTTGGATTCTGAAAGTTTATAAATCTAAAAAAATGTGGCTTTTAGTTTTTAGTTGATTTTTTTCATAAAGTAGATTTCCGAGTTTTTAGGAAAACCAAATTTCAAAAAATTTAGATTGTCGGTTTTATCATTTTTTGAAATCCAAAAACCCTGAGATCCACCTCCCATTCAACGCCGGAAACAGAGGAAAACCTTCCGACAAGTTCCAAAGCAATGAGTTTGAAGTTTATGGATGAATACAACCACTCTTACTGTTAACATCATTACCCAGAAATCATAAATCTATCGGAATCCTCAATCCGTCGCGGGCAAGTTGGACGTGGATTCCTTCCCTGAAACATTCGAACAAGACGATAATGGCTGAACCAATGGTGTTGTTCTTCAACTCTGATACATAGATACATACCGCTGAGACCATTCCATGAGCATGTCGTTGTGCACATGGTGATCATACTCGTGCGTCATCCCTGTTAGAAACGCTCGCTTCGGACTAACCCTCTTCACAATCTCAAGAGCCTGCGTATGAAATATCGGATTCAGAAACTCTTTTCTTCATCCACCGACGGAAGGAAAAGTATACGAAATATGATGGCGAGCGATACCTCGGGGAAGCATATGTGAGTAGCTCGAGATGATTTCTGCAGAGAACGAGATGAATCTCAGCGACAGAGAAGAGGACTTTTTCCTTGTCCAGGACATGATTTGTGTTGAACGATTTTACCTTCTGAGTTGTGTTTGTGTCCAAGATAAGAAGATCTACTTGTCCAGCCCCAGCTTTGGAGATCACTGCAGAAGAGAGAGAGAGAGATGGTGGTGAACTGTTAAGATTATCAGATGATGATGATGATGACGACGATGATGAAGATTCTTACCATACTCTGTGCTTGGAGGGATGCGAGATACATCAGAAATGTAAGCCACTTTACGTTTCTCACCGAAAAGGAATCCTAAGGCAACATAATCTTCTCCATGCATCACCTGCGCGCACGCATAAAAAATACAAACGGCTTAAGTTTCATTGCATATGAGAGAGCTTTCGCTGCATTTTTTTCACAAGCAGTAGTAGTGACCGGTAAAGGGACGAAAGATAAGCCTGAAGCCGTGAACGGTTTGCTGCAGTCCTCTTCTATTATTCTCCAGTCTAGCCGTGAAACCCGCCTCGGTACTTGACCTTCTTTAAGCTTCTTTTGAACCAAATAAGGAAACCTCCTCTCGATGCTGCGTCAAAAGCATAAGGCCCATGAGACTTGAGGCCAAGAAACTGGCCTAAGGATCATAAAAGCCACAACTATTTTGTTCACCTATCCATTGTGAATTGAGTTAGGAAGACTGGGTTTGTGTCAGTGTTATTGGTTGAACTCCGTGGTTGAACAGAGCGTATATCGTCAAGGCCATGAACTGCATCCGCATGCTCGTGACTCAGAATGATCTATAAGACCATAAGAAAGCTACTGAAATGATTAAGTCGTAGAAGATAGAGGAATGTGAGTATGAAGAACAGAAGAAAGGAAAGGACTGACAGAATCAACTCGAGGGATCTTATAGAATGTAAACCATCGAAGGACTTGCTCCTTGAATGTCTTCCCGACATCAATCACTACATAGCTGTGTTTGCCGTCCTTCTCGCTGTAATAATCGATCAGGAGCGACGTATTGCATCTGCCATATCCAAGAATCAAGGATGCATAACCAGAGGAGAAGAGGTAACTAAATTCCCAAGAACATCAAGGCGGCCTTTTGTAGGCAGATATAAATTCTACTCTCTCCACATCATAGCAAGTGTCATCATTTTCGAGCAAAGTTTCAATCTTTCATCCGAATTTCTCAAATTAATACCGACCCACGTGATTAGTTGCGGTTCAAAGATAGCAAAAACCATCTTTTTCTGGTAGAAAGTTACAATTTCTGACCCAAATTTATCAGGTTGAGACCGACCCAAGTGAGGTTCATTACAGTGCATAAGAGAGTTTCGAACTTTGACCCAAATTTCTCAGATTAAGACCGACCCAAATGAGGTTCATTCCAGTGCATAAGATGTAGCAGAAATCATCTTTTTTTTTTTGTGATGGAAAGTTTCAATCTTTGACCCAAATCTCTCAGATTAAGGCCAACCCAAAATTCCCAGATTAAGACCCACCCGAGTGAGGTTCATTGCAGTGCATAAGATATAGCAGAAATAATCTTATTATTTTTCTGGCGGAAAGTTTCAATCTTTTGACCCAAATTTCTCAGATTAAGAACAACCCAGATGATTGTTTGAAACGGAATCCAGAAACAGAAATCGCGGCTTCTGGGATTGAAGAGAGAGAGAGAGACCTGTAATTAGGGTTCAGATGAGGAGGAAGGGAGAGAGACTGAGAACAGACGGGACATGGAGGATCAGAGGGCTGGATCAGGCATCTGACATCGGGAACACAACCGGAGCATCCAGTGCCCAGGAAGATCAGAGCCGTCCGATCAATATCAGGGCCGCTCTCCATCGCTCAGTCCTCTGAAGTGCGAATCGAGTTGGAATAAAAAAAAAATGAAGTGCGAATTGAGCTGGTAGAAGAAGAATAGAGCAGGTGAGACACAAGTCAAAGCCGCCAAACCCAACGGCTTTTAAAACAAATAAACCTTTCCTTCATTTTTTTAGTCATCACTATGCTTATATAAAATGGGACTCTCGATTCGTTGACTCCAGATTTGGAAAACAAAACAATTATTATCGCTGTTTTGTCAAAAACTAATGGCTTCATATATAATCGAACATTTTTTTTGTTAAACAAGAACTGGGGAACGCAAAAAAAAAAAAAAAAAAAAAAAATACAAATTCAACCCAA